TGCAACACTTCCATCCTTCCAACACAGACCGTGATAATGCATCATTAGCAAAGAAGCTACTGATCTATCTGACTTTCCGAGTAGACTACACGNGAGGAGGCTTTCAAAAATGTGCGAGAGAACAGTGCCTCTTCACAATACCGCTACTTTCTTGACAATAAATCTTTTCTCCACTAAAAATTCTTGCAGATCCACAAACGTCGTCATCACAAGCATGTTCACGTAATCGTGTGACCAACAAAAGACAAATGTTATCTATCGTAAAGTACTTTCGCTCTTAAACGATTTTCAGATTATGGAAAAGCGCTGATGTCACAATTTATGTAATTTTGCGCACTACGTTAGTTAACGGGTTAGATTCAACCACACGATCGTACAAATTGAGACAATAGGCTGTAGTATTTGCCGGTATATTTTCTTTGCAATCGAATTCAACTCACACATCGACGGTTGCACTTTTGACAGCCTCGTTTTGACGTGAGCAATCAATGACCAGTAAAGGATCACATTGCAGAAAGTTGTAAATCGTGAGAAATGGTACGACACCACCACATCTGTAGTACGTTTTACGGAAATGTGTGTACATATCGTACAGAACGGCATATTTTTTTCTATCAAAACGTAAATGCAAGTCGTCATAAAGATAGAATTCAGAGTTGAAATAACGTTTTACGTTGGTCAACTGCCAGTGATCAAATCGCGTGACATAGACATCTTATGAGCGGAAACTCATGGTCAAATACCGTTTGCTTTCCAGAGTTTGTAGTAGCGAGAACTTCGTGAAATCATTCAACATTACATGTGGCATTCGCCATTGTATTTTAAATACTTCAATGTTTTCATTCAATGCCTCACAATCTATCTGAGAAACTGCTGTTATGCAGTTTTTTCGTTGCGCGATCGTAGTAAAAGTAGTTCATGACGTGCATTGATAACCGTACGTTTGCAGTTCTCGAAAAATCCTAATAACATGCTGAGTGGTACGCAGATGGATGTTCTTATCCTTATCTTTGCTTTTCGCAGTACGTTGGACTATTGCATGTTGCAGATAATTGTTAATATTCTGGAATTCGTACAATCCTTCCGGAATTATAATCTGCTTGTCATCCGTATCATAATAAAACTTATTGTTCGACAAATTTACGTTCGGTATCGTATGATACGTTTCAAAATCTGTTTGTCCCAGCTCGTAATTACCGTGACTTAAATCAATGGCGGGAAAGTAGCTGACTGCAAGTGTGCTACTTTTGCTGGTAAGTGTGAACGTCAGTGACATGTTGTTAAATGCGCAATAAAGTCTGATAGCGTATTATTTAAATGAATATTACTCATCGACCGCATGAAAAAGCCATAATCACAATTNGCCACAATTGCTTTGATTGTAAAGTTGATAAGATATACGGTTATATTCTATTTTGTCCACGGCATGTTCTAGATAACGCACCTCTTTTGGTAAAAAAAGATTTCCGAAACTATTAAAATATATGACATGTTTTCCTCTTTTTGCATACGTTACCAAGTGAGTACCCGGTCCATTTGTATTATCTAAAGTAATAATACTATCATTACGACGTACTACGTCCGGTAAAATATTATGCATCAAAATACCTCTAAAGAAAGTGTGCACATGCGCTTAGCTAGTTGTTCTAACTGCATGTTGTTGTTACACCTGTAAAAAATTTTAATGTCTTTTCAGCGTTTTATTTTCTGTAAAAGTCTTCGTCCGTACGGAGTCAGATAAATTCCCCGACCTTCCATCGCGCGATTATGACGCTGCATTTCTTCTAGTTGCCGCTGCGCAGCTCTTGTATCATTTACTGTTTTTGCAACTCCTGCTGCTCCAAAAACGAGTGCACCGAGAGCACCCAGCAGTGGTTCAACCGGTANCAAACCGCCGCGTTTAGCAATTNGAAGTATTTGCTTCTTTTTTGCTGAGTTGCTTTTAAGTCCATGCCGAGTTTTGTCTTTGCTTTCATAACCGTCCACACGGCGATCGCANCTGTTCTCTCACCAAGACTCGAGTCTGCCGATGTAATATGATCGCGCGCCGTCGCAACAAGTGCGTTAGCAGCTACGTGTCGAGCAGCAAGTTGGTTGCTTTGCGAATAAGCTATATCGTTTTCACGACAAGCCGCATCCAATGGATAATTGTCGTGATCGCCTCTAGCTAATCGTTTTTCCAAACACGTTCCTGGGCCACAAAATTGGTAGCCCGAAATATGTAATTCTACGAGAATAGCGTTTATCACGCGATTTAACAATCCACGACCTGACATAGATTGCAATATACGTTTGACATCAGCTGTCTACTGACGACTGAGTAGACACGTTCGATGCGTCTTTATAACTAGGTGCTCCTCGCTATCGCGAGGCAGGTAAAAAAACTCATGTAGTTTGTGCAGCAACCTGTAGCANTTAAAGTAATTATTTTTGACAGCAAGATTCAACAAATGTCCGGCAAAACAATACGTAGACATGGAATAATGCTACCGGTTGCTTGAAAGTCCACACGGTGTACGTTTTGAAAACGTGTACGTGTATTTCAAGTCGTTACAACAACCAAAGTATCACTATCTGGAGAATGTACTTTCATCAGTAGATGAAATCGGTTACTTTACCTTTTCTAATAATAGCGATGTGATTCTGCCAAGTAAAGCACTTCCGAATTCTATTTATATTTTTTATGACGTGGCATGTGAAAAGCAGGATACGATACGAGAATACTTTGCAATGGGTCGTCA